AGGGCAAGCTGCAGTTTTTGATTAAATGGAAGGGGTATGGCCCCGTTTTTTTTGGGGGGGGGGGGGCACTGTCAGGAACGTAGAACTAATGCCCATAGCATAAGGAGGGCTAGAGTTACTACACACACTATGGCACACAGAAACGTGCATTGTGACAGACGAGCAGTAACTGTGCGTGTGCAGCGTGCGCATAATCGCGTGCAACATGCACGTGTACATGCCCAGTGCACGAATTGGCGCCAATCGGCCTATTTAAACCCCAAGCAGCAACTGATAGTTGCTGGAAGTTCTCAGCTGTACCTGTACCTGTGTTCCTGTATCTGAATCCTGTGACTGACCCGGCTTGCTCCTGTTTCCTGCTGTCTGCTGCCTGCCTTCTGACCTCGGCTTATCTGACTATTCTCCTGCCTCCTGATTCGGCTCCGATCTGTCTGTTTGGTTCTGACCCGGCTTCAACTGACCACGTCTACCATCCGGATTCTCCTGGCCTGCCAGCCACTGACCCAGTCCGCCTGAATCCTGCATCTGGCTTCCTGCATCCGGCTTCCTGCATCCTGCATCTGGCTGCCTAAATCCTGCATCTGGCTGCCTGAATCCTGAATCCTGCATCTGGCTTCCTGCATCCTGCATCTGGCTGCCTGAATCCTGCATCCGGCTTCCTGCATCCTGCATCTGGCTGCCTGAATCCTGCATCTGGCTTCCTGCATCCGGCTTCCTGCATCCTGCATCCTGCATCTGGCTTCCTGAATCCTGCATCCGGCTTCCTGCATCCTGCATCTGGCTGCCTGAATCCTGCATCTGGCTTCCTGCATCTGGCTGCCTGAATCCTGCATCTGGCTTCCTGCATCCTTACCAGCAGGTGATCAGCATCCACAGGCACTGGTGTCTCTCTACGTCCGTGCGCTACCTGTGCCATCTCCAGGGGTGCTCTGACGAGAGTTACAAAAGGAGCCTCCCTCATCATTCAGACCATACCAGGTACGTGACAGTATGTCAAATAAGTGACATGAGTTGTTTGAAACTACAAGATAACTGTGAACCAAGTGAAATAGATTAAACAGTTACTTTGTTAGATTTTAGAAACACATCTTATGAGAAATGTATGTTTCCTTTTTCTTATAAGAGTTTTTCTTATTATGATGCATGTGATATGATATTTGGGCACATAATGAAAGAACAGAAGGTGGTAGACATAGCAGGAATCTAGTTACGTTTGATCTGCACCTGTCTATTTCCTTCCTCCTTGTCTTCATGAAAACATAGAACAAGGATACACCAACTTTTACAGTCATTCCCATTATAGACATAGATAAAGACTAAATTCATATTTTTACGTTCAATACGTTTTTATTAAGAAAGTTTTTTTAAAGAAATTACAGTACAGTTAGGGAGATCATACATCTTGAACTTACAAACTGTGTGGTATAAAGGCAACCTTAATATTTATGTTCTAATACTTCACGTATATACCTCCATGAAGAGCATAACAGGACATGGAACAAGAAGGAGAAAGAACAGAGAAAGAAGTTGGGGAGAGAAAAGGGGGAGAAAGCCAAGTACCGTATATACTCGAGTATAAGCCGACCCAAATATAAGCCGAGGTATCCAGGGGGGGGGGGGGGTTTTCAGAAAAAAAAATGGGCTGAAAAACTTGGCTTATACTCGAGTATATACGGTAGATAAAGGAATGCAATACAATACAACCATTGGATTGGAATTCGAAAGTCAGTTTAAGGTTTCGAGTAGGACCAGGCATCATAAAATCGCTTCGTGGACCCATCTCGAAATGACACAATCCTTTCATGCTGGTAATATAGATTTACTATGGCAACAGTCTCAGACAAATTTGGTGCAACTAAGCTTTTCCAATGGCGCACTATGGTCAGCCTTGCCGCCAGTAGAATGTGAGAAACTAGAATTCTAAATTGAAGTGGAATATTGTCAATAAATATTTTTAAATAATAATTCATTGATTAATTGAAATGATTGGTCGAATACATTTGTGTTTATGACCAATTTCTGATGAAAAACTGGATTAAATTTAAATACACTGTATATTAAAATCAAAGCGAACATTCCCACACGGAGAGTGCAGGAAGTGAGTGAACCAATGTCCAGACAGTAAAAGCACTTTAAAACATCATCTGAATAGCTATAGGCATTGTGAAGAAATTCATCTACAAATTTTACAACAGGGGGACAGAAATATATTTTCTATGAAAGCAGGTCTTGGCAGCCTGCCAGCCTTCTAATGTAAGCACGTGGCAGTGTTTCTAAGCTGTTAGAAACAGCCTGAAACCTTTAGAATTAATTATTTTACAGTACAAGCACCTACATAGGCGAGGGCTTGTTTTAAAGATTTGTTTACTGTTTGTTATATATTTGAATATGTAGATAGTTAATTTAGTGTACATAGTCTGGTCACAGGTACATACTGAGACGCCGCAGCTGAAGCGGATCCCGACAATTATGTCTGGATCTGCCCAGCTGCGTGAGTGACAGCTGGCTCTGCCTATCTAGAGGCAGAGCCAGCTGTACCTGCCCCCGTCCATTCCGCCAGTCAGCGCTGGAGGATCGGAGCGGGTAGGGGGGAATCCATCCACTCCCCTGTCACGCAGAGAGCTGTGACATGATCGAGAAGTGAGCGAACGCGGTATGTGTTTGCTCACTTCCCGATCTACTGAGCCGACCTGTGACAGTCTCATTGTCACAGGTCGGCTAGAACTATGAGGTGAGTGAAAAGCACTCACCTCATAGTTCTCCTTTAAGTCATATAGTCTGGTCTTAATATTGGTGTTTTTAACATTTATCCTTGAAAATAATAGAAGGGGTTTCAGGAGGTCGTGTCACTGTCCCATAGCTCAAAGAAAAGAGTAGAGAAACCAACATTAAAGTGGAACAAAACAAAACAAAACAAAATTTAAATACAGTATGGGAGGGTTATAAATGCAGTCAGTTTTTTTTTGTCTGCCATTTTGATTGATTTCTCTTTAGTTCCTGTCCCATAGCCACAACAGGAAATAAGAGGAAATCCCTCCAAAGTGAAGGAAGTACCTGATTGTTACCAGGGTCCCAGAATTAGTTTGCCCATTTCTATTACTGTTCTGGTGACAACTCAAAATTTGGCATCTTCTTTAACTTTTACTCTCCGTGATAACAGTCACCAGGGCATATAGAGAGTTGTTTCCTCTCCACAATATTAAAAAAAAAGAAGAGGTTTGGCTTTATTTGCATGGTTTTCTCTGGCATCAGTTCAATGAGCGATTGACCTAAAACAAACCTGCAGACAAAGAAATAAGTATCTGCATCGTGTCAGCATGACAGCCAGGCAGCTAGTACTTTCACAAGGAGAGAGGTCAGCAATGGCATCCTCTATGTTTTTCAGAGCACAGGCTTCACATAAAAATACCTTGTGAGCATCTGCAAAGGCCTGAACCTCTCCCCTTCACATTTCCCCTTCTTTTAATGCCTTTTTATTTTTATTTCCACCATTGCCTTTATTTGCCTTCTGCCCGTATTCCTCTCCGTACATTTATTTTCCTTTTCTTTTTTTTCTCTATTCTCCTCTACACAATGTTCTGCTGCATGCTACTATTCATATATCACTATCCATGCCTTGAGCTTCAACGTAGCTGTTAGTTATTTTAGCTACCCAAACTCCCCCCTCCCTTCTCTTTTGCTAGCATTAACACTGTATTCAAGTTTTCCGCCGAAATAATTTAGCAATAAACAGAACATCGTTGTGGGTGTATGCAGTTTTATTAAGACAGATTTATTAAAGGAGTTGGGAAGCTTCACTCAAAACAATTGTAGCTATGTTCATATTGAATACCCAGTCATGTTCTGATTAAATAAATAAATAAGAATTTGCTTTTCACATGACTTAAAGTGACATTAAACCCTCAGATGTTTTAACATAAACCAATACTGTAATGTGTGCCTTACTGTAATCGTGGTTTCCATTCTCTTTGCTGCTCTTCCTTTTAAATCTGTATCTCTTCTCATGCTGGGGGAGAACTTCCCTTTCCAGCTGAGTGCCTCTTCCTGTAGTGCTGGCTCAGGTTGTGAACCTACACACAGACACCATGTATCAATTTCAGAGACAAGGCAGTCTGCTGCAAAACAGAAGTTCTGCCCAGCATGAGAAGAGATACAGATTTAAAAGGAAGAGCAGCAAAGAGAAGGGAAACAACCATGGATTACAGTAAGGCAAACATTACAGTATTGTTTTATGTTAAAAAAATCTGAGGGTTTAATGTCACTTTAATAATTGAAGCAAATCTTTACTCCATTTTTTTGAGTTAAGATTCTCAATTCCATTGGGAAATTTGTCTCATTGTCTTCAAATGGACACTTGGAAAACTCAACATAAATGAGTGACAACAAAACAAAAATACTAGAACACTTAAATTATTGTACAGGGAAATTAATTCTGAATGTTCAGCAATATTTCTTTGCACCTTAGCTCTGCAGATTTATGCGTCATGGTAATGTGTTGCTATAATTTATAGAATTAAAAAGCTACAGAGATTGAATTTGTTATATATAAAGCTTAGAGTATTTCTTGGCGCATAAATTGTTGAGTGACACCTTACTAAATATACTAAGGCTTACTTAAACAATTAATGGGCCGGAGAATACTCTAAGCTTTATATGTAAACAATTCCCTTTCTGTATATAATTTTTAAAGGCTGGGTGGGCCCTAGCCCTGTTTTTGTACTTTTTTTTGTGGTTATTGTTCAAGTCCAGGTGGATATTATATATGCCTGCCATTCTATAGAATTAAAAAGCTTACAACTACAGTACAATGGTTAATAATAGAGCAGATGTGTATGTTTCATTGCATTGCGCTATTTAGCAATCATTTTTCATCATACCGGTATACAATTTAACTTATTATATTTTTTGCCTCTAAATTGCAGTTAATGTCACATGTCATATTATTGCTGCTATTACTATTTATTTTAGTGTTTTATAATGATGTTGTGTTTTCCTTGCAGGTTACTACGGAGAGGGTGTAAATGCCATCATTGTGTTTGCTGCTTGTTTCCTGCCGGACAGCAGTCATGCTGACTACAATTATGTCATGGAAAACCTTTTTCTGTGAGTCTGCTGCATTTTGGCTTAGTCTTTATGAAAACATATGGTTCAGTGCTGTTGGATAAAGCCTACCCTTTCTCTGCAAAAGAAAAGCTGGCAAAAAGCTTTTACTCTGGTACCACTAATCAGTTTTCTTGTAATACAGCTTATTGCTAAGCAAAAGAAAAATAATCAGCTCCTTATATACCTTTTAATACTTTTTATTGTAACAGTGTAACATATTGCACTAGAGATACAGTGACATAGAATATAAAGCATTTTCTTAATACAGTAGTTGGATCTAGGTAAAGCAGCAGAGCTTTTTTTATATCCAATATGCATTAATAAATTATTTTTAACAAGAGTACACAAGAGTTGGCCTTCCATGTGCAAAAAAAAAATAAAGATGAACTGGAAAAGAAAACAAAAAGTGAAAAGTTCCTTTTCTGAACAGAACCTGCTTAATGTGAATAGGACAAAAAAAATACAGAGTACACTGAAAAAGTAGTGTTGTTAGGAGTATTCAATCACTCAATGTCAGTTTTAGCAAGCAGTATATATACTACCAGCTGTGTGTGTGCATCACAATTGCTTACCCAATTGACTGAAACACTAAGGGGGTTATTCACAAAAGGGTGAAGAGTTTGGAGAAGACAGGAGAAGTGAACAATCTAGGACAATATAGCTGAACCGGAAAGTGAGCTGAATTGGATAATTTTTCCAGTTCAGCTATGTTGTCCTAGATTGTTCACTTCTTCTGCCTTCTCCAAACTCTTCACCCTCTTGTGAATAACCCTGTAAAAAAAAAGTTTTTGCCTCTTTAGTTTAATTAGTCCACAACAGCAAATAAAAAAGAGGAAAGTGCTCAGAGTTGCAGCAACAGCAGAAAAGACAAGCAAGAAACTTATCCTAAAGCTGACCATACACTAATCGAACACATTCCCCCATCCCTGTTAACAGCGTTGACAAAATCTCGTTAACAAATCTCCCGATGCAGCTATGACCAGTGACTGCAGCTGATTGCCAATCAGTAATCGATGATTCATTGTTCCAGCAGGGTACACACTGTAAGAATGAACCCTAATCCTATGGCCAGCCTTAGTGTGTCTCTGTCACCTCTAGTTAATTGGTAACTAGTGGGACCTAAACATAACACCACCTAACTCCTTTGTCTGTGTGTGACAAAGGCCAGGTCACTAAACCTGAGCTACTATCCAGTACTGTACTATATTTAGAGATCTTTAAATCAATCCATGTAGAGTAAAATCTGATCTAGATTGGTGTTAGGGGAAGTGCAGTTTCCCATTGACCTGAAAAATACCAGCATAACGCAAGGCATATGTAATGACATGCACATACCAACAGGACTGCTTTCTTTTGTCCTTCACTGTGCTGATAACAGCCAATTTGTTTAATCTATTTACTACAACTACTAATAATAAACCAAAAAACTAAAAATAGTTCATGTCTATGTCTTTTCAGATATGTAATAAGTACACTGGAACTAATGGTAGCTGAGGACTATATGATAGTCTATCTAAATGGAGCCACTCCACGAAGAAAGATGCCAGGCTTAGGATGGATGAAGAGATGTTACCAAATGATAGACAGGCGGTAAGGGATCATCTGCAATTCATGTAATGTGTATATTATATGCTGTGCTAAGACCACTGTTGTAGCAAACAGAAATTCCACTGCTTGTCATATCACAAGAGGTCAAACTTTATCCTAAGTATGAGTACTGAAACAGAAGCTTATAATATAATTAGTCTTTAAGCAGAGGCTTAATTATAACAGAACATTCCTTCTTACAGGACATTCTTTCTTAAAGCCTTTTAAAAATTTGAAAACAGTTTTATTCTGGATGAGGTTAAAACTCCTGTCAGTTTTTTTTGTTTTCTGTCTGTGTCCTGTTGACACAGCCGGAAGTCCAAGGAAATCTCTTCAAAGCGGAAAATCTTATTGGACTATAGCCCCATCACCTTTTATGAGGTGGCTACTAGAAATTTAGTGATTGCCAGAGCTGTAGTCAGTCTGGATGAATTATAGTTGGCATTTATCTGGTTAATTTCAGGTGTTCTGGCATTGATTGTACCTACCTGGGTGGGGTGTGACTCTACTGTAGTGTGGGACATCCAATGGGGGACACCGTGAGTCTGTGAGCAGTTCAGAAGCCAATCACTGGGATTTTCTCCTAACCAGTGTTGCATGCTGGGTAAGTGTTTATATACTCGAAGGAATTGCCATGTGTTCAGTTCAGGACCAGCCATGGTCTAGGTTGGGGTGCTGTCCAGCCTGCTCCCAGGCTAGGCCTGGGAGTGGGGATACTGGAGTGGGGGAAAGGCGCTGCTAGGCCTCAAGTCTAGAGGAGGCCTCTGCTGTTATCAGAGGAGGAGAACCAGGGAAACTGATGGCTGCTGGAGGTGCCTGGAATATAGAGGACCCCAGGAGCAAGTCTGGTGTCTCTCCTGCTGAGGATTTGTGACAATCCCTGTTCATCTGCTAATGAATTATTATTATTATACAGGATCTATATAGCGCTAACAGTTTGCGCAGCGCTTTACAATATAAGGAAGACATTACAATCACAATACAATTCAAGACAAGATGGTAAGGGCTTACAATCTAAAAGGGAGGGGCAAGTGATACATGAGGAGGAATATTAATTCACTTTGCTGCAAATGGATCTACACTGAATTGCTAGAAGGGAATGGGGAGTCTGGAGTCTATGTCTGTTCTACCCTGGATATCTAGGTTCCCTATACCCTCTATGCCATGTGCTATGTGAAGATTGTTAATAAACGTTGTTCAGCATTATACTTCTGGAGTGGATATCAGTTTTGTGTGCACTAAAAAAGGGTAGTTAAATGCTAATGGGGCAGCTGAAGACCAAAACCCCTAGATAACTAGTGATGACCCGGGTTATTCTGACAGGTCCTTCGGGAGTGAGCACTACAAGACAGTTGTCACCAAAATCAGTGTCTCATTGGAAGATTTCCTGTTCTGGTGACATAAAACGTTTGGTTTCCCATCACTTTCTGTTCCGGTGATAATAGTCACCAGGGCAAGTAGAGGTTGACAGACAGAGGTTTTAATCCCTCTATACGCTATCCAAGAAACATTTTGGCTATGCATACATTTTAAACATTTTAAAATGTGGCAATTATAATTAGCTAAGATCTGTCTTTGGAACATTTTCCCACAGTTCTCTGCACTGCAAAACAAATGAGACTGACTGATTCCATCTGGAGAGAGAGTTTTCCCAAGTCAGTAGAGTAGAGTTTTGCCTTTCGCCATGAAACACATTTTGTTTTTATAAAATAAAAGGTAAACACCTGATTGTTTCCTAATAGCAACAACTCTGCTTTTAGTTGTTCTCCATTTTTCATCAATCAGTTCCTAGAAGTGGTCAATTTGGCTCTACTGTATGTTATGGGGAGCCGATTGAAGGATGAAAAGAGTTGAGGGGGGTTGTTGGTTGATTTTAGCCCTGTGATGTTGCTCTAGTTCTTATGAGATCATTCTTATTGTAATTTATGGAATGTTTATGGAATGTGTAACTATCATATCTTAATACAGGTTAAGAAAGAACCTAAAGTCATTCATAATTGTTCATCCATCATGGTTCATCAGAACTATACTAGCTGTGACACGACCTTTCATAAGGTAATTGTAAAAAATTATTAAAATGATTATATTACTAAAAACGTCACTAAACAAGATCTGAGATTACAAAGTGCTATGCTTCAGAGTTCACAGTTACGCCTAAAGAATTGTGAAGATAGCAGATATGGGGAAGTGTCCTTTATGGGGTTGTTCTAGGCAGACCATACAAAAGTTGCTTGTTTTTTTTATTCTGGTTTGTATATACTGCACTTTACCTATACAGTAGGTATTCAAGGAATGCAAAACATAGAGTTCAGCACTCCTCACATACCCCTGCTTGGCCTTTGCGTGGCTCACTCCTCTATATAGACTAATATGTACAGTATCAATCTTTTGTTTTGCTGTTATGCCTATGCAACCCCATTGCATGTTTCCTGCTAGTTACAGTCTAGGTAGGTGCTGAATTATTTTATGACTTGAACCCTGTTCAAGTTCAGCTGAAACTATAGATATACACAAACTATTAGACTCAAAAAAGGAATATGTATTTGTAATGTAAATTGTAGTGTTCCTTTTCCATGTAACTTGACATTCTCTATAATTTTCATGTTTCAATTTTAAATATGCTCAGTTGTATTTTAATGCATATTATTGAATAGGATACACCACATTACTTTGCATGCTTTGAACAAACCTTGTGGATTTAAACCATATGAATCCTAGAAAGATTGTAACACACATTGTTACTGTATTTTTCAGAGAAATAACAATACCTGTATTTGTCTAGATATCAGCTTTTTGTAATCACTTCAGGCAAATCAGACTCTACTGCATTGCACAAAATTGTTTGTGAACAAACTTACAAAAAGCAAGATTAGAGTGATTAATTTATTAATGTGCTATTGTTCCTTCACTGTACAGTCAAGGGCTGGGTGTAGTCTTGCCTAGACTACATAGCATAACTGCAGTCTAATTGTTAGAGAATACAGTCTGTCCAGGGTGTCTAGATCACAAAACCGATTGAATGGAATTAGAAATCCTTTAAACTCAGCATGTACACCAGTACACTCATCAAAGCCCATAATATAATCCAATAAACTCAGAGCACCAAACTGTGCACCCCAGTAAGCTGATAATACTACAGCAGGTACCCAAAATACATCCATAAGAACTAACCTTGATTTACTTATTAGGTATAGCACCAAGAGCAATTTGTAAGTATTATCCGCACTGTAATTCTAATTCTGCATTCGAAAAATATTGTTTGGAATAATTTTGGTTTCTGAACTCTTAGGCATTCATGTACTCCTAAAGGAGAATTATGAGGCGAGTGCGTTTCACTCAGCCTCATAATCTAAGCCGACCTAAGAAAATGAAACTGTCACAGGTTGGATCAGTAAATCGGGAAGTGAGCAAACACATACAGTCGCTCGCTCACTTCTCGATCTATCCCTGCAGAGAGCCGTGGCTGTCACTCACGGCTCCCTGCAGGGATTCCCCCCTCCCCTGTCCGATCCTCCAGCGCTGACTGGCGGAACGGACGGGGGAGGGAGCGGGTACAGCTGGCTCTGCCTCTATATAGGCAGAGCCAGCTGTCAATCCCGCAGCTGGGTAGATCTCGACAGCAATGACGGGATCCGTTCCGGCTGCGGCGTCTCAGTATACCGAGCTTTGGGTCACGGGAGGACGCTAGTTTTTGTCCTCCCGTGACCCTTAGGAGAACTATGGGGAAAAGCCCTGACCCCATAGTTCTCCTTTAAGTATTCATGTTGTCCCCCATTTATCATCAGCTTTTTTTCACATTGCCATACATTATTGGTTTTACTATTGTCCAGTTTGTTGTCTTTGACCTCTGGAACAAATGCTGAATTAAGTCTTCATAAGAAGATTAATCTAAATGAAACAATTAAGGGAGGAAAGGACTCTCTGGATGGGAAGGGGGTTTAACACCGCGGATGTCAACTGGTTAACTGTAGCAGTTTTTCACTTCAGGTTAAACAAACAAACATTCCCCGAAGCCCTTTCGATCATATAATCAAAAAACAAATTGTCTTGTTTGTCTTCTTTGAAATTGTCCAAACGCTTCAATTGAAGCAATGTAAGCATATTGCGGTATTGTGTTTTTCATATAAAGGTGTTGATTTACAAAAGGCAAATAGGCTGTTCACTTTGCAAGGGAATTTTCACTTAGCCTAGTAAATGGGGTGAAGCTCTGTTGACTTATGCCATCCAATTATGCAAGCAAAAGTACTTTTGGGTATTCTTTGCAAAATTAATGTTTACCACATTCACTAAACTAAAGGTAAATTCCCTGGTAAAGTGAATAGCCTATTTGCCTTTAGTAAATCAATCCCACAGTGTATCCAGGGAGAAGCAGTGCCCCAACAGATGCATGCGATTAACCCAAAACGAGCGTTCTTAGTATATTTTCTTCCCCATTTGAATATGCTGTATGTAAAATGCCACATTATAACTAATAGATGGAGCTGAGGAGCACAATAAAGAAGTATTTTTTTCCCTATGCTCCTGAGCTCAGTCTAGTAGCCAAAATGTGGTCATAATGCAGTACTACTAAATGACATTCAAAATGACATTGGACTTATAAAGAAAATATACTACTCACAGACATTTGCAGGGTGAATGGCTGTGCAGATTGTTTACAAAAAGACACCTTAGTAATCTGCAGTGTATTCTTATTATATTCCATATGGGTAACATTCAAGGGAACAGAATACAAGCATTAAGAGTCCCCACTCATTATTTAACAGAAAACCTGTAATACATGTAAACCCTTAACTAGTAACAAGTAAACTGTTATAGCTTCAAATCCATAGGAAAAGACGAGATTCACCACAGAGCTATACATTTACGTTCTAGGAATAGTGATCTATGAATACATATCTGAAAATCAGTTGGTATCTTCTTGCCATATAGCTAATCAAGTATGCATTTGAATTTTTGAATACATATTGTCATGTCAGTATCATAATTCACATAATATTAGCTATATTAATAGGTTTTTGGTTTTTTTCAGTTCCAAGTTCAGCAGCAAGATAAAATATGTATCCAGTTTAGCTGAGCTACAAGAACTTATTCCAATGGACTATGTGCAGATTCCAGAATGTATTATTAAGTAAGTATATAACTTATAGCATGGAGTTTCCTTCTAGAGAGCTTTGAGTTTTAGTAATGTGACAACAGCCCCAGGGGCCCTGATTGTAAGGATTAAAATCTTACATACTAGTTTTTATCACTTATTGCATCATTTTTCAGACATTCTGACCAATGATACCTAGGGTGGCCATATACAGTCCGGTCTTTAAAAGTGATGCATCTAATTTGGGCATTGCTTGCCTAAATCAGATGTCCATAGTAGGCAACAATGAACACCTTTGATCATTGGAAGTGCTAGCCATCACACACAAAAATTGTTTGTTTGTATGCTTAATTTTGAAAAGTCAATGTCACTTAAAGTTCTTCTAAGTGGAGGACTATTAGAATAAAATGATGTGAACATTTCAATACTGTCTATAGCTTGGGTTGCCACCTGTCTGTGCCCTGGCTGAGTTTAGCTGGCCTGAAACCCAGAAAAAGCACATACGGGACTCAAAATCCGGACTGTCCAGGTGAATCCAGGACAGGTGGCAACCCTATCTATAGCCCACCATGTAGTTATCTAAATGCACATCTAAGTAATTTGATTGCAGGTACATACAGTATATCTACTGAATATAGCAATAGGACAGCTCAGAGGGGGAGTTTCCTCAATTTAAAGAAATTGTCTTTGATATCCTGTTGGGTCTTTGAGAAAGGAAGGAGAAATCTCCCCATTGGGTCACAGACAAGAAAAAAATATATTGTTGGGGGTGTTAACCCTTTCCTACTACTATATCCAAAACTAAGAAAAAAATGTGGTTGTACATACACTTTAAACCACTGGATCTTGGACAGAGTCCAGGATAGGGAAAGTGGATTGAGTTGATAGGCCTCCATGCTAAACTATTTTGGGAAGCATATAGATCTGTAAATATAGCCTACTATTGACTGGTAGAGCTGTTGGCAAATCAGTTAATCTCTGGGCCAGCCAGGCTAAATTTTTGCATCCGCCCTGCTTTAAAATCACTGGGAATTAGTGTCTGGGTGTGCCCACCAATAACAGCTGTGGCCTACTGATGTGTCTGGTATGTGGCTGCACACATATCCTTATTTTTTATTTCCTTCTTCCTGGCCCTATGTTCACATACAAGGAAATGTACAATCAAGTTAGAAGAGAGTGTCAGTATTAAGAATGTACAATCAAGTCCTTGCACACAAAAAAACAGCTTGCAAATGCTGTGAAGAACTTTGCACATCATACAGTTGTAATTTATTCAAGGGTTGTTATTTTTCTGTAATTCAATTTTGGGAAAGTTATGTGGCTAGTTTAGTTCCAGTTAATAATAAGCAGAGTCAGGGGCGTAACTAGAAATCACAGGGCGCCATAGCAAAATTTTGTATGTGGGCCCCCCATCCAACCCCCTCTTCCCCGGGCCAAAAAATGACCGTGTGGGTTGCTATAGCAGTAGTTACACCACTGCATGGAATAGCAGTGTCAGGATGAAGATGAAGAGATGTGGGGGAGCAGTGTCAGGATGAAGACGAGGAGATGTGGGGGAGCAGTGTCAGGATGAAGACGAGGAGATGTGGGGGAGCAGTGTCAGGATTAAGACGAGGAGATGTTGGGGAGCAGTGTTAGGATGATGATGAGGAGATGTGGGGGAGCAGTGTCAGGATGAAGATGACATGTTGGGGAGCAGTGTCAGTATTAAGATGCGGAGATGTGGGGGGCAGTGTCAGTATTAAGATGAGGAGATGTGGGGAGCAGTGTCAGGATGAAGACGAGGAGATGTTGGGGAGCAGTGTCAGGATGAAGACAAGGAGATGTGGGGGGGGGGG